AAATCGTACACACTCATCCAAATGTCAAAAACAAATGCCCTTACACTTGTCTGCATTGAAGCCTATTTGCCAACACAACTACTTGTCCAATGTCTTTGTAATTTTATGCTTCTATCTCTGATCCAAACCTGGGTACATGTGGGCTTTCCAAATTGGTTTAATCCCAAGAAATCAGGTGCAGATCCTCAATGTCAGGCAGCCTGGAAAAACTTGAGTGCTTCTAACAGGACACGAAGATTGACAAAATGTAAGTGTGAAATTTGCATTCTAATTATTCAAGAATCCATTTGAGAAGGAACCCTTCAATCCAAAAGAGTCTAAGTGCTACAACCTCACGAGCAAAGGCTGGTCCTGTACTTAAACCACATTCTTTATTGTTTCCCCTCCCTAGTTATCTGTAGTTTGCAGATTGCAGTCTTGACCAGTTTGTCATTGTCAGTTTCTGCCATTTCTGAGAAAAGTGAATTGATCAAAATCCAAAATCTTAAGTGTTAAATTTCTCCTGTTCAAACAAAAGATTGAATTTGCACCGTTGGATAAAAAAAATCCATTTGCTGTTGGATTAACAACTATGCTTAAATAGCAAAGCTAATACATGTCTGCTTACTTATTGGTTCCAGAACATATTTTACGTGCAATGTGTGGGGAGAAGAATTAGCAGGATCTTAAATTTAATCTACCTCAAGATTCAGATATAGTAATTCTCAGATGGTTGGTCAAGATATTTCAGTAATTATTACAAACAGCTTAGGGTCATTGTAAAAATCAAGAAGCCAAATTAAAAGTTAAAACAACCCAAATTATATAAAATGAAGCAAACATTCATAGAAACACTACAGTTTTTTTAAAAAAGTTTATTTTGACTCTGCAAATCTGTCTCCCTAATCTTGCAAGCAACGATTTCAACAACCACCATCTGAACTTTTGATGTGAAAAGTGCTCAGGTTTTACCTGAAAAAAAAATCACAAATGAATAAAGCATAAAACAAGCAGTCATAGAAGCCAAAGTTGAACTGACATTCCATCGGAGTGCATTTCTATACTTTGACAGTTCACACAAGCAAAACAATGGAATAACCTTTTGTCAGAATCCAATTTCATCCTGTGAGAGACTCAACTAAAACTTGCTCCAATAGAAAGCTTTTACTACAATACTGCTTTGCCAGTTTAAAACCTTTTCAGCAGAGAATGCAACAGAACAAAGTGCTCCTAACAATGGAAGTGAATAAAATTGCTACATAATCACCAAAAATAGCATTATGGCAAAAAGCTCAACAGCATACCAACTGCAGCAAACTTCAGAAGTTAATAATATTTCAGAGTGCATTTTTATTACAATCACAGTTATCATGCTTATTGCAAGTATCATTAACATGTAGCATCAGTCAATCCTAAAATCTAGTCATGTATCAAGTAAAGTATTGATTTAATTATAACCAGAATATATACTGTTAATAAAGGTCAACATATACACAAGGAAACCAGAGTTACCATTCTAAGCTTATTTAACAGCACAAAAATTTTCAGCATTTACATAAATAATGTTTCCAACTACATATTTATTTTACTAATGTTCTGAAAAACAAACATGTACGTCCTAGTTTATTAATCTCAATCGTTCATTTATATGGGACTTGAAATATAGTGCCCAATTGCAATATACTACACAAAAGTATAATTGGACAAAAATTGAGACTGATTTGCAGATAACCAAAAGCTTGACTGCACAAAGTGCTGGTTTTAAAAAGGAGAGGCAGACAGATGGAGGGTATTTAGTGTTACAGCACAGTCATTATGGTGACGAGGGGAGTCAGGGGTGCACAACAGACCAGAATTGGAGGTACGCAAAGTTCACATAGGTTTGAGAAGCTATAGGGTACAGAAATTAAGAGGAGCAAGGAACAGAGGGAACAAAGCAATTCCAAATGCAGGTTGGGTATCCTTTACCTGAAAACCTCAAACAACTGTTTTCAGATGAAGGATAATTTTGGTTTTCAGATAGAAGGCAGTAAATAGATTGGCACAGCATTTTAATCTCTGGTCCTGACTCAGCAAATGGTGTTAAAAATCAAGGTGACAGTCTGAGTTTCTGGGACTTGTCAAGTTCTGCGACTGTTGGGAAATCTTTGTCACCTTGCTTAAATGAGTCAGTTAAATAATTCAGAAATAATTTATTATTACCTCCTGTGATGTGAGCACCCAACTATTATCAATCATGGATGTGTATAACTATTTGCAGTGGAGAAAAATCAGGCACAAAAACATAAGACCTGCATTTACAAGATACGCTTAGGTCCGCTATAGGTCCATTCAGGAAAACAAAAAAGTTTTGCTTAATCCAAACGGACATCAAAGCAAAGTTTTTCATCGAACTCAGTCTACAGGTCTGTTGAGGTCAACCTTTGAAAAAGAGACAAGGTGCAGGGCTGGATGAACACAGCAGGCCAAGCAGCATCATAGGAGCAAAGAGGCTGACGTTTTGGGCCGAGACCCTTCATCAGAAAAGGGGGAGGGGAAGGGGGTTTTGAAATAAATAGGGAGAGAGTGGGAGGCGGATAGAAGAGGGATAGAGGAGAGGAAACAAACAGGTCGAAGAGGCGGGGATGGAGCCAGTAAAGGTGAGTGTAGGGAGGGAGTTAGGAAGGGGATAGGTCAGTCCAGGGAGGACGGACAGGTCAAGGGGGCGGGATGAGGTTGGTCGGTAGGAGATGGAGGTGCGGCTTGAGGTGGGAGGAAGAACAGGTTAGGGAGGCAGGGACGAGCTGGACTGGTTTTGGGATGCGGTAGGGGGAGGGGAGATTTTGAAACTTGTGAAATCCACATTGATACCATTGGGCTGCAGGGTTCCCAAGCGGAATATGAGTTGCTGTTCCTGCAACCTTCGGGTGGCATCGTTGTGGCACTGCAGGAGGCCCAGGATGGACATGTCGTCTGAGGAATGGGAGGGGGAGTTGAAATGGTTCGCGACTGGGAGGTGCAGTTGTTTGTTGCGAACCGAGCGTAAGTGTTCTGCAAAGCGGTCCCCGAGTCTCCGCTTGGTTTCCCCGATGTAGAGGAAGCCACACCGGGTACAGCGGATGCAGTATACCACATTGGCAGATGTGCAGGTGAACATCTGCTTGATGTGGAAAGTCTTCTTGGGGCCTGGGATGGGGGTGAGGGAGGAGGTATGGGGGCAGGTGTAGCACTTCCTGCGGTTGCAGGGAAAAGTGCCGGGTGTGGTGGAGCTGGAGGGGAGTGTGGAGCGGACAAGGGAGTCACGGAGAGAGTTGTCCCTCCGGAAAGCAGATAAAGGTGGGGAGGGAAAGATGTCTTTGGTGGTGGGGTCGGATTGCAGATGGCGGAAGTGTCGGAGGATGATGCGTTGGATCCGGAGGTTGGTGGGGTGGTACGTGAGGACGAGGGGGATTCTTTTTTGGTTCTTGTTGCGTGGACGGGGTGTGAGGGATGAGGTCCGGGAGATGTGGGAGACACGGTTGAGGGCGTTCTCGACCACCGAGGAGGGGAAGTTACGGTCCTTGAAAAACTAGGACAACTGAGATGTACGGGAGTGGAATGCCTCATCCTGGGAGCAGATGCGGCGGAGGCGAAGGAATTGGGAATAGGGGATAGCATTTTTGCAGGAAGGTGGGTGGGAGGAGGAGTATACTCACCACCAATCTACAATTCTATATGGTAACATACTAGTTGTGTATGGGTTTCTACAGTGAGGAGACAAAAAGAAAACCATTACCTTTCTGTAACAGATAAAGCCAAAAATCAAAAGGGAAGTTAGTGATGCAATTTCTTCACTTTCTTGTGCATTAGAGATTCATAAAGCCAGAGCAAATTCTTGGAAATTAACTTTTTCAAAACAATGCAATGAAAACATAAAAAAGTGTTCAGCACACAGAAAAACTATTAACTTTCAACTGAACAAAGTTACAAGCACATTAGAGTGGTACTCCCTGCTAACCACCAGGAGTCTGAAACAATTTAAGCTTCATAAATAGTAGAACGGATCCGGATGAACGTATAATACATATTAAAATATGTAAGTCGTTTCTTTTATTTAGTCAGCAACAGAAGAACACTACCAGTCAGCTCTATGCCATGTAGGTCAATAAATGCAGACAGACTAAATTTTTATATTCATACAAAACAGTTTTGCATAGTGATAGTACAATTTTGAAGACATAGTTCCGTTGCATTTCATGTCCTGCGGAAATTAAATCTCAGCCTGTTACAATAAGAAAGCCCAGCAGATCCGTCATTAATGACTGAATTATTCTGAAGATTTAAGTACGGATCCAACATTTTGGAATCACCGAACTCTGCAAAAACGTGTCATGCTTTGTGGCAGACCACAGTACAGACTAACTACACCAACATCAACTCACGTTTACCTATTCGAAGAAAGAATTCTGCTTAAATTTTTTGAATTAATGCATCTCTAGCTTTATGAATTTAGATGAGGTTACAGTCTAGTCTCGTTTGATCGTAAAAGGTCACGCTTAACGTTTCCACTGATCCCAACCAGTGCAGTCACACCCACTATCCGCAACTGACAGATCAGGCCACAGATCTGACCTCTGTGAGGGAGGCTCTACGGATTGAAAAAGACAAGATCAATCCCCAGGGCGGCGGCTACACCAGCTCCTACACCCTTCAGGGAGGTGAATTATAGGTTCTCCATTTTCACTGAGAATTTCAGAAAGTGACTCGTTTCTTGGAAGTTTGGAGATAGTAAAGTAAAAGCAACTAATTCATATCGCCACATTCAAAAAAGTAGTAATGATTTGCACCAAGCTGACGACCTCCACCCTTCTCCCACATCAAAAGAGCCAGCCGCCTCCTGAACATGTGCTGTTTCCTGCAAGGGCCCAGGGGCACTGGGCAGTCCCTGATCAGCTGGCAGTACCCCACCACGGTGCTGCACAGTCAGTCAATGCCCTCTCCGCTCCCGGGCCCGCGGCCTCTCCGCCCATTGGTGCAATGCTGACCCGGCACTCTCCCTTTACCTTGTTTAAGCACGGGTTCCTGAGGATATCACAGCCCCTTTTCCGAGTGTAAACGGAGGCCTTTAGGCCCTCCTTGTTTCCTTGCAATTCCCACTCGGGTAACTCTTGTTTCGCTGCGCAAGTTGCCATTTTAAGATCCTGAGGGCGAGAATGAAATGAAACTTGGGTCAACTTCCACCGCGAGGCGTAACGCAAGAACTACCCCAGCTACCGGGCCCGAGATTTATAAGTTTATCTAGAGCTGTACTACCTTGCTGCAAAGTGAGATAACCGCTGTTCCAATCCGGAACACTGAATTAATCTTGTTTAGTCTAGATTAATCAATCAGATGCAAGCCAATTCATACCACGGGCATTGATAAATCTTAACGATGTTGCTAAATTTCGACGATTGGAAACTACCTGGGTACATAATTTCCCATTAGTAAGATGCTGGAAATACTCACTGAAGTGAGGCAGTATTTGGAGATCAACAGTCAACATTTCAGACCCTTTCCCCACATCTTCACACTCAAAGAAAATTCTCCCGCAGTTTTGTCAGACATTGAGAGAGGAGAGGTTTTGGTGGTGGGGGTGGGCATGGGGGTCAGGCAGAATGGGAGATGGGGATGGGGTCTGGGGACGGGTAGTGGCGGAGCCAGTAGACTGGTCAAATGAAAAGTCAACAGCCAGCTGAAACCTTTCTTTCCCTCAAAACAGACGGTGTTGACCTGCTGCCTTTTCCCTAAATTTTCTGTTTCTTTTTTGCTTCAAATTTATATTAGTTTTAATTTACATAGCACTTCATCTATATGTAATAACATACTTCTCTTGATTGGCACTTCATCTACCAACTCTACCAATTTAAACATTCATGCCCTTCACCAACAATGCACACTGGCAGCAGTTTGCACCATTTACAGGATGCACTGCAGTAAATAGAAACAAAAATAGAGATTTCTGGGAAAGCTCAGCAGGTCTAGCAGCATCTGTGAAGAGAAATCAGAGTTAACATTTTGGGTCTGGTGACCCTTCCTCAGAACTGATGGTAGCTAAGAAAATGTTGGTTTATATGTAGAAGGTAGGGCAGGGGGATAAGGAATAAATGATAGGTGGGGATAGAGCCCAAAGAGAAAGAAGAACAGTTGAACAGACAAAGGAATGGATAACAATCTGGTTGGGAGGGTGAATCTCTATTTTTGTTTCTGATTTACATCATCTGCAGTTCTTTCGGTTTTTATTTAGTAAATCACCAAGCCTACTTCGATAGCACTTTCCAAATCTATAACCTCTGCCATCTAGAAGGACAAGCACAGTAGATGCATTAATACACTAATGCCACCTGCAATATCCCCTCCAAACCATTCCATCCTGACTTCAACGTCACTGGGTCAAAATCCCGGAAGCCTTTCCTAACAGTAATGTGGGTCTCCCCAAGCCCCAAGGGCTGCAGTGGTTCAAGAAGGCAGCTCATCAAAGGGTATGCGGGAAAGGTGGGAACAGGTTACTGAGTTAGACAAAAACTGAAAGAACTGTGGGTGCTGTAAATCAGGAATAAAAACAAAGACAATTAGCCATGATCATATCGAATAGCAGAACAAGTTCAAAGGACTGAATGGCCTACTCCTGTTTCTATTCTTATGGTTAGACACCACCTTGTCAAGGGCAATTAGGAATGGGCAATAAATGCCCATTCAACCAGCATCACCTATAACCCATGAATGAATAAAACAGATTATAACATGCAGATATAATATGCAGGGTACGTTTTAAGTCCAAGTTTAGACATCAGTAAATGGCTTAATGGATCGAGTTAGCCCATGATAAGCTGAAACATACAAAACAGTATGGCTCAAGTTGGCTACACTGCATGAGCTGTGTTAACCTTAGTAGGGGATGGGAGGAGAGACAGGAAAACTGATTTAGTGCCCCGAGTAGAAATTGGTTCCTCCTCTTGATTGTTATGTAGTGACCCCTACTGGATGTGTGTGTGGCTGCTCGATAAGTAGAGGATCAAGCTCAACTGCCATACTCCCTCGACCTCCACTTGGCTAAATTGTCACTGTTAAGATTTCGCATGAACAATGGGAGCCTGGGGAAACAAGATTATTCTTGATGAATGAGATGGAGTTTCCTTTTATTCCCCTTGAATGTAAGGGAGAGCCTGGATGGTCCACATGAAGGAAGATAAGGTAGGATGATTGACATGCTTGGAAGGGAACCTGTCTGATTTACACCTACTTAAATATATGTAGAGAAAATCTGGTAGGCTCCATTATGTGAATGTGATTCTGTCCAATTTCCTTCTGGACGCTGTGTCTGAACTATCCTTCACACCTAAACATAATGAAAGAAAAATCTTGCCAAACATTGTCCATAAATAAGACAAGGAAAATGAAATCTCTGGAATAAGTGGAAAAATGTATAAGAACATCCATCGAAGATGAATACCACAATCCTATTAGTCACATCTAACTGGTTACTGTCTAGAATTATGAGGGGCATTGACAGGGTAGATGAGAAGAAAGATTTCTGTTGGTGAAAGGGTCAATGACTAGGGGGCATAAATTTAAGGCAAAGAGCAAGAGGTTTATAGGGGATGTGAGGGAAAAGGCTTTCACCCAGTGGGTAGGGGAATTTGGAACTCACTGCCTGTAAAAGGGATTGGGGGGTTTACGGGCAGAAACCCTCACAACACTTAAGAAATATTAGGATGTGCACTTGTGATGCCAAGACATACAAAGCAGTGGGCCAAGTGCTGGAAAATTGGATTAGAATAGTTGGGTGCTTGTTTTTGATCAACACGGACTTGAAGGGCTGAAGGGTCCTTTTCTGTGCTATAGACCTCAATGACTCTGACAATGCTATTAGTCCCAACAGCACACTGTTTTCCATGCAGAATTTCATCATTTCAATATGCTTATTGTTATGGTCTTCACACCTATTCCTGATATATTTATTCAGCTTTAATTTAAAGCCATTATTGACACAACATTAACTGTGGAAAAAGGAAATCTCTCTTGAGGTCTTCTTAAGATTGTAGTTGAGTACACTATTACTTTGCTATACATCCAAGATAAATAGCTCAGTATTTTAAAGCTCTGTATTAGTCTCTCCTCAATTCTCCTTCCTCCAATGAAAACAAATTCAACTCTCTTAGTTTGTCTGTATATGTTATCTGAAGGCAGATTATTCCCTTCTTCCAAATAAAGGTTTAATTACTTGTATATTCTGGAAAATTGCAAACACAGAACAAAACTTGGAGCATTTGTGAGGCTGAGAGCACGGTCAGCACATACAGAGAGGTAGTGATCTCAGGATTACTACAGTCGCCACATGCTCGTCAGACTGGATATAGCAGGATTTTGGAGATGAATATGTGGCTGGAAAGATTATGCAATAGCAAGGGTTTCAGATTCCTGGGACTTTGGGACCAGTTCTGGGGGAAGTGGGACCAGTACAAACTGGACCGATTACACCAGCAGATCCAGGACTGATGTCTGAAGCGAATATTTGCTTGTGTGGTTGGGGTGGGTTTAAACTAGAATGGCAAGGGGGTCCTGCACATTCATCTTACATCTGAACATTGGTAAATCTCAGCAGTTGTTTCAAGTCAACTAGGCTCAGTTGATAGCATACTCACCTTGTTTGGGAAGATTGTGAGTGAAACCCCTCCAACAGAAATTCAGTGCAAAACCTAGATAAGGGTTAACCACGGACAATAGTGCCAATGAGAGCTCCATGTCATCTGCTCTGGGGAATATCCACGATATTAAGTGTGAATCGGGCACTGAAGTGGTTGGTAGCAGGTCTTCCCCACAATCAAACTGCCCAGGAGCTGCCAACTGGCAGTGCCAGCAGAAGTGTAGGAGCTGCTAACAATGTGCACACCCAAGGTTCAGGGTCAATGAGGTACACCGGGCCGTAGATGATTGAGGACAGGTTGCAGGGTTGGCATAGGAAGGCGGGTGACATTCAGTGAGCCCACCCCCACATCTCAATGCTGCGTCACTTGATCAGATTCTGAGTGCCTGACAAGGGGGTTCCCCAGGATCTCACCAGTAAATGCCAAAACCCTACTTGTCACATTCCCCACAAGGGGATCCTTCTGCCTGTCTCTGGGTTAATACTGGCAGCAGCAGGTAGAGGCTATTGTGCTGGCATTAATTGCCCACTCAAAGGCATCGCCTGGTGATGGGACAGGAAGATTATCCAGGAGCCTTCTCATCCAGGCTTGGTCAGGGAAGAGGAATGGAAGGAGCAATGTTTCCAGCTGCCTGATTAAATTAAACGCACCACGGTAGATTAAATTCCACTGTGTGTTTCATCAATAGTCAGCTGCTCCTGATTAATATTGCAAGGAAATCCCTGACCCTTCAAGTAGGTTCTGTTTGCAGGTGGTTTGTTCATGCAGGTAACATTCAGGGTGACCAGGAACTGTGTAGTATCTTTACACATTTCATTTGCTTCCAAAACAGAGAGCCACTGAGAAAGTGACAGGACTGAAGGCAGACCAGCCACGTCAATGCTGCTTACACTGTTTGAGAGGGGCATCCTCGCCTTTTTCAGTCAAGAATTCGAGGGCATACACAAGGAGGAGTTTGAGGGCATGATGCCATCACCCTAGCAAATAACCACATCAATTACAGCAGGGACAAAATTTATTCAGTAGCAACACTACACATCAGAGGCATTATAATCATACCTCCCCACTTTCATACTGGATTATTGTCTAAAGGTAGGATAACTGAGTCATCACTAGTATAAAAAGCCATGAGCCCACACTGTGCCATAAGTGCAATTGAGTCAATGAGTGGTGGGGCTGGGAGAAGGCTTCTGAAAAATCTTTTCAAATTCCAATGACATACCAATGAGGAGTACGTTTACAGTCAGTAGCTACCTACACTTTCTGTGTACATGTTGAGTGCCTGCTTGTTGGGAAGTAGCAGAAACTGGTTGTCCAGGCTGGTAATTAATATAGACAGGTATTTTGACAGGCTTTCTTACTCATACAGCAGGGCCAGTCAACTTATACCAGGGGTGCTCCAATCACCCAATGGTAATGAGGGTTCCTAATGTTATACTGCACTGGATACACCCCAAGACTTTACATGGTAAATTTGCTGAAAATATTTATTCAATTTATGTTTTTTCAGGTCTGAACTTTAAATGGGTGAAGCTTAGACCTTTTGCTGGGAATGTGTCAAAAGGACCAGGAATTTGATAAGAACATTGATACACT